TATATAATGTAAGATCATATCTAGGGTAGACAGAATCTGCTAAAGGCTTCAATAATCTTGTATGAAAGCTACTTCCAATTGTTGTTTGAAAAAAAAGACTTTTAACAAGCCTTTTTGGAATATATTGTATTTCTACAGTTGTTCGATAATTTTATTGTTTTAAAAAAGCAACTCAACCTATGATTTTTGGAATATAATTATTATTTGCTCAAAGGCTGTCAATGTTTAATGCTATTTCGTTTTCAGACAGTAATAGAAGTCTGTGAAGTTTTTAGATGAGGTTCCTTTCAAATTTAATTAATAGAATATTTTTACAAATGGACAATCACCTATAGTTAATAAACGACTCTCTATAATCTGAAGTAAAATCTTGGCGCAATTATATTGTTCAAACCTTAATAAACTGTTACTGAGGGAATTTGAATGATCAACGGTATTGAATTCTTAGTCCAAGTGAATTGTGATGTTTCTATCACCCTGTATTTGAACAATTCTGTATATATATACGTGTATGCTTGTATGTATGTTTGTATTTCACATTTTTACTTTATTGATAAGATTTCAGCTGAATTTTTCTTTAGCTTTATATTTTATTTTACAATACATAAACTTCGTAATAAAGTGTACATGTATCTGGAAAAGGGAAAAAATGTGAAAATATTTGAGATGTCGTTAATCTTAAAATAAAACCGGATGTGAGAAATTGATAAATTATTGATAATAATAAGAAAATAGTTTAATAAATAAATATTTATGTATGCTTTTTTCCGTTCTATTACATTTTGCCAATGTGAAGGAAGACACACAAATTTGAAAGGAAAAAAAAAGTTTATATTACTTAAATTTGCTTGCCCATATTTCTATTTTGACTTCATTACATTTTAGGATTAAGAAATATATAGCATTATATTTACTTGAAAATTTTGAAACATTAACGAAAAATACAACAGCCTTCAATTTAATAAAACGTTGTTAAACATTATTTTCTTTGTGTATTTCTATAGAACTTTTGATTTCGATAAAAAATTAAGATTCTTATGAATTCTCAACAATCTGTGTATCTGTGCATCTCTAAGAAGTAACCTTAAAAAAGAACCTTCAAAATAAAATTAGTTAGTACACGGAATTTGACACTTGAATCCCAAAAAAATAACATTACGTTTTGAGTTCAAAATTTTCATTTCGATAATGACCTATCCTATGAAATAAACCGTAATTTACACTTAAACCCTCCGTTGCTAATAAGCCTTTCTCGAGTTCAATAGTTTCGGTCTTGTAAAAAATTATCAAATCTAGTTTAACATTGCAATTCAACGAAAATCAGAGTAACACTCTGTTCGTAATATTGACCAGCATAGTATGAAATAGACTATATGGTCAATATAACAGGGATGCGTAAATAAAATATTTTTAGCTAGGTGTTGGTCGGTCTTTCAGTCTGCTATTCTGTGTGTGAACTCGTTCAGCTCAATTTTCCTAATTATGAAAAAAATAACTATAATTATTGCTTTGAGTTTTTTTTAAGTTATTAAATGCAGTCTCTGTAACTCAATATCCACTATCCTTCCAAATATATCTGTCACTAATGCCAAATATAATTATTACACCCCACCAAGCTCAGAGAGTAAATTAAAAAAATGTCCGAATTTGTATGAAAATCACAAGAGTTACTTGGAATTGTTTGTGTAATATTTTTAACTCCGCTGGTTCACTTTAAAGAAAAGTGGATTTGAGAAAAAAAAAGTAATTGGAAATTTCAACGTATCAAACTTTTCCTGACTTTTAAACAGAAGGGTACTGAATTACAGAGAAAAAAAATTTCCAACAACCATGTGTTTTAGTACAAATTTCGAAATTATTTTTGATTTCCTCTCTGAGCTTGGTACCCTTATTAATATAAACTATTAGGATAATGCTTGCAGTGACTTAACTGAAAATTTAAAAATCTTTCAATACTAATTTGTTTTATTTTGTACCACAAACAAAATACTAATTTTTGAATATTAATCTCTCGGATTAATGTTTACAGAATTAGAACGTAATAAGTAAGCTCCAAGTTACCGTTAATTCTCATTCAATTTCCTATGTTTATGCAGCCGTATTTTTACCTTTAAATTTTCTTAATCTTTTCATTAAAATTTAAGACATTATTGAAAGCACTCAAATTTGCGTGCCTTGATTATTTCTTAAACGTAAACCGACCCTTTTAGTGAAAAATATTTTTCTAATTTTGTTCCACATTTACATACAAAGCATTTTAAATTAAGTATGCTGTATGAGTAATAACATAAAATATATATAGATAAAGGTTTATATATTTACATATGTATGTATGTAAACTAAAAGAAAAATGTAGTATTCTCCGCTACTTGAACATGATTATTTACTTACAAAGTTATGTTAAGACTTAAAAAAAAAGTAATAATAATAGATTAAGCGATTTATTATCAGTCAATCAAAAGATGAAAAAATTCAAACCAAAGCCTTCTAAAGGTTCCCCTTGCTAAAAGAATAAAATACTTATGGTTTAGTTGAAATTTTATATTATAAATAAATTTCCTGTAAACGTTTAATAAAAGTATAGCATTTCACCTTAGAACTAAAATTGAAAATTTCAATAATTTTTTTGTATCACATGTCATAAAAGGATATAATGTGAACGTTCCTCGTGGTAGAAACAAAACATCAGTGTATGCATATATAAAATATACTTGAGGACTTAGATTTTATCTTCTTGCTAGGTTGGTTTTTCGAAAAATAAAATTTCGATTGGCTTAAATAGGCTTTAAAATTAAACATGTAAGATTTTATAATTAGATGATTATATAGATCTACAAACTTAAAAATGCTTGTCAATTTACATCCTTACAATCTACTGATGATGATGCTTTTGTTAACATACAGCAAGGTACATGCAGATTTTATTAGAAAGAGGAGAATGTCTTCCAGGTCTGAAATTAAATTGAAATTCATCAACATCGCAATACAAAATTGATAGCACTTTTTTCTGTATCTCAAAAGCTGGTAGTTTGCTTGGTTTATTTGTATCACATATGAAGTATGATTAGACAAAAATATGATACTGCTTCGAATGATAAAGAAATATCTTAGAATTATATAGAATTTTCGTACATTTTAATGTATTTCACACAATAAGAGAGGTTACGTGATGGCACCAAATTGCGCATGTTCAGCTTTTGGGTTTAAAAACACTTCTTTCTAGTAAGGAAGCGTAAATAAACTATATTTAGCAAAAGGTCGATTTTTGTGGTCTGTGTGTGCACGCGTGTGATTCAATTTCGGGTGAACCGATTTTGAAAAAAATTGATATCTGAATTTGCTCTTACTATGCCACGGGTTGATTAACTTTTGATATACGTCAAGTAAAAATCAAAATATTTTCTTGAAATTTGTATTCAGAATGTTGAAGCAAAGAAATTTCACAAGAAGCTGATCTTACATTTTTCAAATTTCTTGAAATTTAATACAAGAGTTCTGATTACTACAGGAACCAACTTTCGATATTTACTTTTTTCCATATTTGTTAACTAAAAACATCCTAGTGTTGCTAAAATCTCAAGGTGTAAGAAGGAAATTTTCATATTCTTGTACAATACTTTCGCCAGTTTAAAAAATACACTTTGCCGTCGCTTATGTGCGAACCATATCAGATTTATTTTTACTCTTATTTGCGCCAGTTTGTTTTTTTAACTCAAGTATGTGCTTTTACAAGGAAATTTGTTTTTCTTTCAGAGATTGTTATTATCAAAGTTAGCGCATTTATTACTGAATACAAGGTAAAAATCCATTAATATTAAATTATTGTTTTTCTTTCAAATTTAGCAAAAAAAAAATAAACGTGTATCGTCCTACTTTATTGATCATTTTGAAAAATTGAAAATTAGAAAAGTTAAAAAAAAAAGAAAGTTCATTCTTTCGAAAACGAGATGATTAAAATTATTTTGCTTTGTGTTTTTTTTTTGTTTTTTTTTAATATGTAACATGTAAGTAAATATAATTTTAAATATATAATTACAGAGCATGTGCACATATATTTAAGTAAATACTGTACAATATGTTATACATAAGTAATGTAGAATCCTTACAAGAAAAAAGAAAACTTACCATCCGTGAAATTGGGTTTTGAGTTATTATTACTATATGATTACCAAATGATTCATTTTAATTCGTATGTGTATATCTAAATACACACACAACAACAAGTGAACAAATAAACTGAATTTTGTAATATTGAAAAACAAATTTGGTAATATTCATTAAATTTTGTGTATGTATGTATGTATACATTTATGTAGATTGTCCCTTACATGCATACGTATAATGTTATCATTTATTAAATTTACTAATTATTGTACCTATGATAAATTTTATCTTTATTTCAGCAATATACTTATAGTTTTGTATACAAAATTTTAAATATGTATAAAATTTTTGAAAACCTCATTTCAATCATATAAGCTGTTTTCTAATTAATATTAAATATTGATATTGTATTAAAATAAGGGATAAATGTACGTGGGTTTTACAAATTAAGTTTTACTAAACTAATCTGAAAGGAATATAATTTTGAAAGCAGGAAATTATAACAAAATCTTAATAAATACAGGAATGTAATTTTGAATGGTAACCACAATTTCTTAAAGTAAAGAATATAAAAGATAATTATATTTTCTTTTAAAGCAAAGTCTAAAATTTATTGAAAATGGGAGATAATAAGTGCTTCCCACCCCAATGGAACAATTATAATTATGTTGAAAATTAAAGTAGGGATTAAAGAAGAAAGGGTTGTAGCCAAGCAGGTTGTTTGCACAGCTGCTTTTTGTGTTGTTTTCTAACAGAATAATTTATGAATTGATTTTACTTATAACAATGAAGCGTTCCAAGTTTGTACTTACTTAATTTATTTAATTATAATTGAAAATTATTTTTACAATAATTATTCTACAAGGCAATAATTAATTAAAATTATTTCTTTGCAGGACTAACATCACATGTAGGCAAAGAAGCACCAAATATATCAGCAGCACCATCACCATTATATGGAACTGATCATCTAAGAGGTTTGCAAATGCAACATTTAACTTTACAGCAGCAACAACAACTTCAACTACAATTAAAACAACAACATAGTATATTAAATAAACATATGGCAATGTCACATACATCAGTAATAGATCAAATACCTAAACTTAGGCAATTAAAATCAAAAGCCTCAATAGATTTAGTTAATTATAATAATGGTATTGTTGATAATGGTGAAAATGACAATATCAATGTTGGTACAAATATACGAACTAGCTATGATGTAAACAATGATAAAAATAATGATATTAATAATTTATTAAGTAGTGATAGTTTAACGAGCGAAAGCGATACTAGTTTAATATTAAGTGATAAAAGTGATAATGGTAATTTGAAATCATTATCAATATTTAGTAATAATGAACTTAGCAGTAGTAATAAAATTTATGGTGAAAGTTTAGTTAATAATATTAGTAGTCCAATAGACAATGCTCTTGAAAATTCCGATAGTAATAATAACAATAATAATAATCTTGTTAATAATAATAGTAATAATGTAAATAAACAACAACAGCAACAAACAGATGCTTCACTATTAGATGAAATGTATAATACACCAATGTATTTTGGTACTGAGAATAATACAGTTATAACAACACAAATTGGAGCAACAGCACATATGCCATGCGCAATACATCACATTGGTGATGGAGTGGTAAGTTTTTTTTTTTAAATTTAAATATTTTCGGAAAAAATTTGGTAATGTTAGTTTTAAATGTTTTCGAATTTTCTCAAAATCTTTATCCAATTTTGTTATCTAGTTGTATGTATATTGAACAAAAGAGTCAATTTTCGTGAAATTTAGGCTAAGGCTAAAATATCATCATTTCTTGGTAGAAATTTTAATCTGACATATTATTTAATTGCCATTATTTGATCACAATTATTTCGAGATTCTCATTGAAAAATTTCGAAACTCTTAATATTATACGAGTACATAATATTGCATTTTAGTCTTACAAACGACTCAACACAATAATTATATATTTTTGAAAAGTATGTCGGAACCAACATAGACTTTTAATGTACATAAGTATGTGCACGTCAAGTACGTCAAGTATAAGAATTTAAAGAAGAAAAAGTATAAGAATAAGAACAGATCTGATAAAAAAAATTATCAAAACCTTTAATTTAGATGTTTTAGTTTAAAATGTAAAATGTTCACATAAGTGAATTTATGTATCTGTATATGCTTATGTCAATGAATGGAAAATTACACACGTCTAAATAAAATTATGCTGATATTCTTATTTTTTTGAGAGTGTGTATAATAAATTTAGTATTGCATTTGTAACAAAAGAAACTGGATTTCGAGGAGCAAAAGTTTATAATTATTAGATTGTCGGTTATTGCACCATTCTACACAAGAAAATGTAAAGCCCTCAAATATTATGTTGTCCATCAGTCTCTCCATATACTAGCGTTAATATACAAGTTTTATGGTAAGATTTCAGCTATTATAAAAAGTCTGTACGTTATCCGTTATAGACAGTTTTAAGCCGCCGCCCGGTATTGAGAATGAGTTATATCGAAATTTTATTTGGAAATTTAAGAGTTGAAATATCTGTTACATATTGAGCTGAAAAAAGAAAAAACAGATTTGAGCATATTTACATACCGTAATCTCCATATCACGCATGTATATGGATTATACCTCAATTTTTTATAGCGGTGAAACACAAATTTCAAAATTAATTGAAGGTCATTTACTTTTTATGTGAAGAGGTAATGTTTTTTTCGTAAAATTGCTTGTTAGTGTTGCAATTTAATATGTGTTTATCCTTTCCATACAATAATGGATTCTTCATAATATGAAATTTACGTATCCTAGGAATGTGTTGGCCAATTATAAAAATTTCTTCAATTTTTCTTTTTTGTTTTTTTTTGGCAGCAAATTGGTCTGTATCAATCAACTTGTAGCTGTATATAATAAATTACAATGGAAATTACCATGGAAAACTCGTAGAAAATTTATATAAATTTATTTGAAATAAAACAATACAATAAAAATGTATGTGATATGATAAAAAAAAATTATATGGAATCAGAAAAATGTAAAAGCATGTGAAATTAATAGCCAGAAATTTGTAAAAATTTAAGATTTTTCTTTACTAATTTTTTTTGCTTTTTTTTCTTGTAAACAATTTATTAACGAATTGAAAAAAGAAAAGGAATATTTTTCTTCCATTTTATTTTAATATTTTATACGTATATTACGTTATTTTAGAATAAAAATCTCATAAATATATAAAAACGATTTTAGGATATTCTGAGCCGAAATCATTTACCAAATTGAATGTAGATACAATGGCAGAAAAGGATATAAAAGGAAAAATATATGGGAAATGATTTTAATTTTAATTAAATTTAGCGATAGAAATTTATGAGGTTTTTACATAAAATTAAATAAAATTGCTTTTTTAAGATAAAAATCCAATAATTTCTATCTCTTCGAAGCACTTATATAAATTGAATTTTCATATGAGATAATTAACATAATCAATTGTACGTGTCATTTTCTTGAAAATTAAATTGAGCAAATGTCAAAAGTGTATTCGTTTAGCGTAAGACATAATAAGGCATACATAGCTTCATATATAATTGTATTATTGAAATTTTATTTAGATATATATGTACATACTATTGTGAATTTTTTGAATTTATAAGATTGTTGTACACTTACTGCAAAAAACTATACTAAACTGAGTTAGTAATAATCGAATGTGAATATTTCTTATAATATTTCAAGAAAAAATTGGGCTTTGAGAAATTACATCAATTAAAATTTTGGAAAAAATTCATTAATTAAAGAGAAAAAAATCCAATATTAATATAGGTAACTAAAGATAAAATTCAATTTAACTTTGAAAGCACGACACTGTGAAGAAAACTATTGGTATATGGAGTATTAATAAAGAATATGATGGTGTCAACTTTGTGATACTCGTACGAATAAGATGACTTTAAAAATTTTGTATGACAATTGCCACAATCCTTTATTTCTTATAAAATGCTTTTTTATACAGAGAGGGTAGTTACCACACAAATTCATTAAGTTTATATTTAGATCATTTATGTTATTTACTTAACCATTTGTGAAAATTTGCTGAACTTAATTCAATTAGTTCATAATATACTGAGAGTTCGACTCTAATTAAAAACATATGCTTATGTTTACACCTTAAATTGTTGCTTCCTAGTGTTAGAAACTAAGTGTAAATTTATAACACCCTTCCAGCATACGTTCTTACGGGAATGAAAATAAAAAAATCTTTCTAAAAAATCTAAAGCTTGAATTTAATTTTCTCGAAACACCTTTTTCTACTTAACAAGATTTTTCTTAAATACGTAGTATTATTTTATGTGCTGTTTAGGTGCTCAACATTTACTTGTTTCTCAATTAGTTATCAAAATAGATTATACATGTACTATTTTTGTATAAAATTTAATTAAAACAAAATATTGTTCTTTAGTTGAATTTTTATTCTAAATTTAACCTCATCTAAAAAAAATTTAATGAAATAATTACCGTTTTTATACCCTGCACCTTCGTGAAGGATATGTTAGCTTTGATATAAAGTTTGTAATCACCTCAAGGAGTCGTCTTCGGTATGGACATGAATATAATGTTCTTGCTCAGCGTAAAATTCTCAGCGCCCGATCGCACGATAACTCAAAAACGAATAATGCAATCGGTACCAAACTTTCATAAGGTGTTTCTTTTATGCCAAAGACGGACCTTATTGTAGTTGGACCAATTCGGCCAAAGGGTTCGCGTAACTGCCATACAACACAAAGAGTTTATTTTAAATATCTGAAAAAATAATATCAGATTCATGAAACTTGGCAGTCGTGTGCCCAATTATAGGTCAGACATATCCGTGAAGTTTCTATACGGTATAATTCAATCGGTTTATACCGACTGAAACGTTTTTACTTGTTTTGATATAGTTTTGAAAATTTCTTCTTTCGTAATTTGGTTGTACTATTACTTGGGGTACAAATAGTGGTCCCTTCTTCCACCCATTATTTTTTCAATCGCAGAACCAGCAGTTCTAGTTTCAGTAGTTCGTTTTGGTAATGATTTAATTCACTTTAATCCGACCTTTAAGGTTAACTTTCTTTGTCTTTTTCTTTAATTTCGGCTGCTAATAGTGCTAATTTTGTTAGAGTTTTTAATTAAATTTTTTTTGTTCTTCATAAAAATATAGTTCAAGCATCTTTCACAAGTCTCTACACACTTCGTTATTATGCTCTAAATCCCTGGAATAGAAAATTATTTTATAATCACTGTTTTAATTTAATAACTACTTTAAATTTAACTTTGCATACCTAAAATATTTCAACACCACAATATATAAACATCAATACCATATGATATGAAACAACTATCTCTATATACGCTTATTTTTCCAAAAATTTGAAGATGGCGAATCAAAAAATAAACATAAAATTTACGTTCATTTTCGTTGGTTAGTATTTTATTTGATAAATTCATAGATACATATTGTATTTATTATAATTTATTGCACATTTACTATTCAATCAATGTTATTAATGTTACGCTATTTGTTTTTTGAAGCATACGCTTGCATTTAATTCAATTTTTAAACCAAAATTTTCTCGTTTTGCATTATTATTATATACATACATAATATACTTGTGGTACTTACTTGTATATCAATATTTTCATTCGCTCATTATGATGAAGATATTTTTGTGTTGCAAGAAAATAACTCGCATTTGGTATAAAATTATTAGATATAATATAAAAATAAAATGGAGAAAACAGATGCGAATATTAAAATTTCAAAAGGAAACAAAAAATAAATTAATTACAAAATAAACAATGATATTGCGGGGGCTTTCCTTATTTTTGAGCTCGTACAAGTTATACAACATTTTTTAAGGAAATTAGTTTCTAGTGCAAAAAATAAATTTGAAGAAGTGTGCAAATTGTTTGTTTACCAATTTAAGAAAGACAAATAAGAATATATGCAATAAATTTGTCAACTACTGAAAAATTCTAATGTGACATTTTATGATTTTACATTGACGCATTTTTGAGTGATTTTATTAAAAAATTAATTTCCCAAAAAAACACATGAAATGCGTCAATTTAAATATTTTAAATTTTGAAGAATAATTTATTATCCTTGTATTTTCAATTCATACTAATTGCGGGTTAAAAATTGGATTTATTTCTTCTGAATTCCCGCTTGGCATTTTTGTTTTTATAAATATTAAGTTACTTTTTCAGTACCGGTATTCAATAAGAGCTAATGCTAAGATTATTGCATATAACACTTCTGCTTACACATAATTTGGTTCTGACACTAGCTGTGTTCACTCTAACTAAAGTATCAAATCAAAAACTAGCAAATACCATACATTACCATAAAAATACCACACAATCATTATTATTATTATACGAAAACACTGTGTACTCTGATGAATTAAAATTTCACTGTATGATGAATTTTAAATGTACTTCCAATCTAAATTTATAAGAATGTGTTTCGTTGTCGAAGAAAGTTAAACAACTAATAATAGATTTAGTTCAATTAAAAGTTTTGTATTTAATTAAAATGTAACTAAGCAATCAAATACTAATTTTTCATTTGTGCAGCATAATAGCCAGCTAATATTTCCAAA